CTGAACAGGAAATTTCAAAGATCAGCTCGAGAAGATAAAGCCAAATACTATAATAAAATATGCAAAGATTTAGAGTTAGAAAACCAAAAGGGAAGAACCCGTTCAGTATTTCTCAAGCTGGGGGAACTGAAGAAAAAATTCAAGCCTTGACTTTCTTTATTGAAAGATTCACTGGGCAAATTGTTGAATGATGCAGAATGCATCAAGAAAAGATGTGAGAGAGTAGAGGAGTAATAGTCTGGAGGCAGCATTTGGTAACACAGATAGATATAAACCACACCTCTGTATCATGAAGTATGAGGAAGTAAAAAGTCTACCTTTGCATCATGAGAGGGCTGCAGGGCAGATGGTGTTCTCAAGTGAGAATCAGTTGTTTATTGAAGTACAGGGGTGGAGGAAGGGAGCATTCAGTGAAGAAGTTGAAGCACAACATAAGCACAAGAAGCACAAGATTTCAGAGGGGCCTCTGGGGTGGAGCACAGAGCCCCCGAGAACATTATGGGAATGGAAGGCCACAAAAAATTGACCAAAGACACAATCTGAGAGATGACCAAGAAAACATTAATATTTAGCTCATATGTTAAGAGTTAATTAGCTGACATATACTAAATCTTGAATTTAGGAAAGTGTGTATTTAAGATTCTTAAAGCAAGACAGATAAGGTGGCCTCAGAGATAAAGGTGCCAATACAGTGTACATCTTGGTGTTCATGAATGTTAGATCTAGTATGGTCTTGAGGGGATACCGTCATTTGGGAGATGTCATCCCAGGAATAGCAGGAGCCCTCTTGAAGTTGGGTTGCTGTTGTTGTTAACTGCTGTTGAGTCGGTTCCAACCCATAGTGACCCTGTGTAGGGTTTCCAAGGAGCAGCTGGTGAACTTGAACCACTGACTTTGTGGTTCACACTACCTTGCAGTCCAGTGCATTAATCCACAGCTCCCCACACCAGGATGCTTGAGGTTGAGAGTACAGGATAAATGTGGTCAATGAGGAGGACAATGAAGACCTGGGCCTAGTGCATAGCTCCAAATGGTTTTACTCTAGAGGCCCCATCGTTCCCATGTTAGATGGTACCTCATTTGTATAGTGCATGGTCTACACGGCCAATGGTGGTAGCTCTGGCCATGTCTTAGGCAGTGGTTGGAAATTAAATTCTAAAGCACTTTTCTCAGGGTTTAGAACATAGTAAATTTGTGATAAACATGGTAGCTGTTATTTTCTGTTGAGTCACCTACAACTTATGGTGGCCTTATGTACAAGGGAACTTCAAAATATTTGTGAAAAAATTTCTTTATCTTTTAATTCTGTTTTTCCATGAACTTTCTTAAGCCTCCTCGTATAACAGAACAAAACGTTGCCTGGTGTCCTGTGCCATCTTCATGATCATTGATGTATTTGAGTCTGTTATGGCTATTGTGAAGCTTCTAAAAACCTCAGGGCCAATTTTTAGAAGTAGGTCACTAGAACTTTCTTCTTAGATTGTCTTAGTCTAGAAGGTCCACTGAAACCATGAGTGATTCTGCTCATATTTGAAATACTGGTGGCATAGCTTCCAGTATCATAGAAACATGGACGTCATCACATTAGGATGAACTGACAGATGAGTGATGTTAATTAATGTTAGTTATTATTATCCTTTTTATTATTGTAAATACTGTTAATTACTGTTGTTACCCCAACCTTAACAGGTGAAGAAAATGGTGCCTAAATCTTTGTTGTCTCTATAAGTTCATATTTCACTCATCAATTATTTTTATGTTTATACATATATATGGTGTTAAATGTCATTATAATAGACTCTTTGAGACACTGCTGGCTGAATAAATGATGAAATCTACCTACCTGTCCTTTACTGTGATAGCAGACAGAGTGGAATTTAAGGTAGCAGTTAGTCTGCTGTTAATTTGAATATGTTTGTTTCTTTGTTTCATCTTATTTAGTTCATATGTTAATATTCAAGAAATAAAATTGGTGATGGAATTAATTAAACTTATTAAAGACAAAAGAAGGGATGTTACTTTCCGAAACATTGGCATAATAACCCATTACAAGGCTCAGAAGAGGATGATTCAGAAGGATTTGGACAAAGAGTTTGATAAAAAAGGGTGAGGTACTTTTACACTTATTTCCAGTTTTTCTGTTGTGTTAAAAAGAAGAGAGAGGATATGGAAAGAAAGAAGAAGAGGAAACCTAACTCCAGGGAATGATCTTACACCATGTAAGGTAGAGGTGAAACACAGGAGACTGGGAAACTGGCTTCCATAAGAAGGAAATGGTTACACTTGTGGCCCCTGTAGAAATGATACCTTCTGCCAGTTGGAGCATCAGCATTACACTTTAAAGAGGAATTGCTTAAGAAATTCTCCAAGCCTTTTCCTTTAGTTCTATGACTTGTAATTCTAAATTCTAATGAATCATGTGAAGTTCATTCGTAATTTATTATAAATTATTTAATCCCTTATACAAAGTGAAGATTATGTTTCTCTCCTTACCTCATTAAGGAAGTCTGGTAGTATAGTTGTTACAAGTGGGGCTGCTAACCTTACGGTCAGCCATTCGAAACTACCAGCTATCCCATGGGAGGAAGATGAAACCTTCTGCTCCCGTAAAGATTTACAGCCTTGGAAGCTCTATGCAGAGTGCTATTCAGTCGGAACCTGTTCTATGGCACAAATTATCAACACCACCACCACCTTACTTACTTACCTCAGTAGTAAATTAAAGATTAAATATTGGAAATCTATTCGCTCAAAAATTTTATAATCTAGAAGCACACAAAGTACCAAAATTGAGTCAAGAAGTAGAAATGTGAGTAGCTCTCTAACAAAAATTACATTATTAAACAAAAAACTTCAAACAGCAATGAGAAAACTTTACCAGATGGCTTTCAATTAATGAATTCTTCTGAATATTAAAAGAATGAACACCAATCTTTTACAAACTCAACCAAAAAAAGGAACATTTCCTAACTCATTCTGAGGCTAGTATTATATAGAGATATCAAAGCCAGACAAAAGACATCACAAGAAAACCACAGACTGTATGAATATAGATGAAAAAGCCCTCAACAAAATACTGGCAAACTAAATCCAGCAGCATAAAAAAAAATCCAATGGCCAAATGGGATTTATCCCAGGAATACCGGGTTGGTTCAGCATTTGAAAATCAATGTAATGTACCCTGTTAATGTAGAGTAGAAGAGGGTGAACCACATGATCATCTTTTGTTGATATAGAAAAAGCGTTTGACAATCTAATACCTTTTCAGAATAAAGCCACTCAGCAAACTAGAAGGGAACTTCTGCAACCTGATAAAGGGGTCACCATGGTCAGAATTAACTCAGTTGCAACTAATAGAAAGGTGAAAAACACAAAGCTAATATGATATTTTTCAGTCCTGATGTGGTGGTGTAGGATAAGCACTGAACTGTAAGGTCAGTGGTTCAAATCCACCAACCACTCCTCGGAAACCCTATTCAGGGTTGCTATGAGTTGAAACCAACTCGACGGCACATAACAGAATCATCATAATGAAAGACCAGGTTTTTTATGTGTGTAAGACCAGGAAGAATGATCACTACTTGCTTTATTTAACATTGTGCTAATGGTTCTAGCCAAGCAATTGGGGAAGGAAAAGAAAGAAAACATACCCAGAATGTAAAGAAGAAAAGAAAGCTATCTCTGTTTACAGTTGACATGGACATAAATAGGGATATATAGAAATTCCTAAGTATATGGTAAAACTAGAAACAGTACTATTAGAGCTTAATAAGCTCAGCAAGATTACAGGACACATAAGACCAATGTGTAAAAATCAGTTGTATTTCTATTGTTAGCAATGAGCAATATGAAAACGAGATTAAGACTATTCCATTTACAATAGCATCAAACAGAATGTAATACTTAGGAATACATTTAACCCAAGACATTAAGACTTTAGACCTTGTACACTGAAAACTACAAAACATTGAAAGAAATTAAAGATGATTTTCTCAATAAATGAGAAATCATCCTGTATTTATGATTGGAAGGCTTCATATTGTAAGATGGCCATACTCCCAAATGGATGCAATATCTATTAAAATTTCAGCTTTTTTTTAAAAAAAAACAAAACAAATGGACAAGCTGTTCCTAAAATTTAGTGTGGAAATGCAAAGGACTTTGAATAGTTGAAAAGAACAAACTTGAAGGAATCACAGTTCCTGATTTCAAAACTTACTACCAGATAGCTTTTTGCCAGCATAAAAATAGGCATATTACTGATTGACAAAAACTGAGAAATAAATAAATCCTTCTACCTATTGCCAGTTGGTTTTCAGCAAAGGTGCCAAAAAATAAGAAAGAATATTCTTCCACAAATGATGTCCGATTCACAAATGGGACAACTGGATATCCACATGAGAAAATTTGAATTTGGATTTCTATCTCACATAATATATAAAAATTAACTAAAAATACATTCGAGACCTAAAACTAAGCCAAAATTATAAAACTCATAGAAGGAACTAGAACTGTAAATTTGCATGACATAGGATTATGCAGTTGTTTCTTAGATAGGATATTAGAATCACAATTAACCAAAAAATAAATTGGAGTTGATCAAAATTTAAAACTTTTATACGTCAAAGAGCACTGTCAAGAAAGTGATAAGATACCATAGAATTTGCAGATCTTAACATTTGATAATGTAATGGCTCCACAGGATAAGCACTGGGCTACAAACCATAAAGTTGGCGATTCAAGCCCACCAGCTTTTCCACAGGAGAAAGATGACACTTTTTGCTCCTACAAAGTTTTAAAATGCCTTGGAAAATTATTTTGGGTTGCTATGAGTTGGAACTGACTACGTCACTTACAACAACAACAACATATTTTATAAAGGTCTGGTGGTGTGAGTCTGTAGAGTAAGCACTGGACTGGGAACCATGAGGTTGGCAGTTGTAGCCCACTGGTGGTTCTAGCCCACCAGCACTCTTGGCAAAAAAGATGAGGCTTTCTGCTCACTCCTGCAAAGATTTACAGCCTCGGGAACCCTACACAGAATCGCTATGAGTTGGGACCAGCTCAGCAGCAATTAATAACAGTTTATATATCCAGAATATATAAGGAATTCCTACAACTCAGCAACACAAAACCCAATTAAAAATTGGGCAAAGATTTGAGTAGATAGTTCTCCAAAAATGGCTTAATAGCCAGTAAGCACATGAGAAAATATGTTCAACATCATTAGTAATTGGAGGAATGCAAATTAAAGAGCATGTCATGAACTAGGAACCCTATGGGAATATAAAATAGTGAGTAATTGTAGAAAAGTTTGCCAGTTCTATAAAAAGTTAAATAGAATATAAATTCAAAGGACTTAGAATTGGAAGTTGTATATTCACACAAAAACTAGTTCATGAATGTTCATCACAACATTCTTCATAACATAATAGCTAAAAAATGGAAACACCCCAAATATATGTATCAACTGATAAATGAATAAATAAAATGTGTTATATCCATATGGATATATTATAATGTTGTTGTTAAGTGCCGTTAAGTCGATTCCGACCCATAACAGTCCTGTATCGGGTTTTCAAGGAGTGGCTGGTGAGCTTGAACCACCAGTCTTGCATTTCAAACTGACTTTGCAGTCTAATGCATTAGCCCACAGTGCCATATTAGAACTCTGTTACAATGTAAGTCAGCTATAAAAAGGGATGCTGAATTGCTGCATGTTGCAACTTGGATGAACCTTGTAAACAACATACTAAGTAAAAGAAGCAAGACACAAAAGGCCACATATTTCTGATTCCATTTATATGAAACATACAGAATAAGCAAATCCATGGAGATATAAAGTAGATTAGTGGTTTACAGGTTGTGCAAAGGTCAGGATGAGGACTAGGAACCAACTGCTAATAGGCATTGAGTGTATTTTGTGGTGATAGAAATAGTCTATAATTAGTGGTTATTGCACAATTCTGTGAATATTCTAAAAAGCACTGATTTGTATGATTTAAAATTATGAATTTTATGTTGTGTGAATTCTGTCTCAATGCTTTAAAAAGACCGAAAAAAAGTCTCTTTAACTGCTATATAAATACATATATTTAAATAATTATCTTACTTTTTCCGGTAAACATGTTTTTGTTTTGTAAATAGACCAGCAGAAGTAGATACTGTGGATGCATTCCAGGGTCGTCAAAAGGATTGTGTTATTGTTACTTGTGTCAGAGCAAATACCATGCAAGGTTCAATTGGGTGAGTAACCATCACTGTTGCTTTTGCGTTTTATAATCCAGGATTAGATCCATTATCCATCACTTTAGATCTAGACACTATAATTTGCATTATTAAATTTGTAAAAACTTAGTATAATGTGTAAAAAAAAAAATTTTTTTTTTAGACTATTTAATCCAGTAGCCTTCATTTTCTAATGTACTGTAATGGAAAACTAATTCGGAATTACAATATGGTTGCTAATATTCCAAACTGTCTTTAATGAGGTTTTTTTTTTTCATGGGGGGGCAGTTAGGCATAAGGGGAGTCTTGGTGTGGTGGTCTAGGATAAACACTGGACTGATAATTGCAAGGTCAGTGGCCCAGACTTGGTAACTCCATATGAGTTGGAACTGACTCAACAGAGTTTAGCAACATAGGAATAAGGACTTACTTAGGGTTGGTCCATGCTAGGTAGGCCTAGGACTTCATTTAGTATTACAGTGGTAGTTAGGACAAGGATTAGTGTTAGGGGTTGGGGGTTGGGATAGGGCCAGGTGTAAGGGTTACAACTAGGATTATTAGTTTCTTGAAAACTACTTGGTTTTTTTCTTCATTTGAAAATTCTGTAACTACAGTACTCTTTTCACATTTTATTTTTTTAGGTTTTTTTTTTTTTTTTTACTTTGAGTACTTCTGTATTTGGGTTTATGGCATTCTGGTGTGGCAGTGTAGGATAAGCACTTAACCTCTTGTGGCAAGGTCAGCAGTTCACATCCACCAGCCACTCCTCAGAAACCCTATACAGGGTCGCGATGAGTTGGAATCAATTCCACGGTACTTAACAGCATACCTGGGTTGAGTTCCAGGTGATATTGTTATAATTTTAGTCTCAGATTGTTGTCAGCTGTTGTTGAGTCTCTGTCCAAAGAAGTCCCTTTGGTATTTTTTTTAAAGAGTGGTCTGCTTTTGGTATATTTAAATTTTTTTCTGTTTATTTGGAAATGTCTTAATTTCATCGTCATAGCTGATGGACAGTTTTCTGGGTATATGATTCTTGGTTGGCAATGTGTTTCTTTCAGAGTTTTATATATTTTATTTCATTGTCTTCTTGCCTGCTGAGAAATCAGAATTTAGTCTTATTAAATTCTCCTTGTCGGTAACTTTTTGTTTTTCTCAAGCTATTCTCAGGTTTCTTTCCTTGATTCTCAAGAGTTTAATTATAATATATTTTGGTGATTTTCTTTTGGGGTCTATTCTGTTTGGAGTTTGTTTAACTACTTGAATGGCTGTCTTTTTGCCTTTCATGATGTTAGAGAAGTTTTCTTACAACGGTTCTTCAACAGTTTTCTCTGTGCTTTTTGTCTCTTCTGGAGAATTCCAATCACGTTAGTAATACCTCTTGATAGTGTCCCACATACATCTTAGGCTTTCTTCAGAATAAAAATATTTTTTTCTGATTGTTCCTATAGCAGATGAATGCTGAGAGACTTTTGTACTTAGAAATTCTGCCTTCCATTGATTCATTTCTGCTTTTTTTGCAATTTCTATGTATTATCGCTGAATTCTTAGCATTAATCGTCTGGCTTTCTAACTGCTGTTTTTGTATGATTTCCACTTTTTCGTATCTTTTGACAGTATGTTCTTGTAGTGTTTTCCTGAATTCTCCTAAAATTTATTCTGACTTCTTCTCAGACCACAATGCTATCAAATTTGAAATCAACAATAGGAAAACCAAGGAAATTAAGTCAAGTACATGGAAACTGAATAATACCCTGCTGAAAAGCGACTGAGTAGTAGAAGAAATTAAACGTGAATTCACAAAGTTCCTAGAAACAAATGAGAACAAAAACACAACATACCAAAATCTTTGGGACACTGGGACCATCAATGGAGAAGAGCAAAGAGTGGGACCCTACCCAGAGAAGCAGTGATGCCAGAGATAGAGGCAGAGATGATGACGTGGAGAGATGGAGCAGCTGGGGACTTCGGATCCAGAGAGGGAGCGCCCGGGGCTGTGTGCTGGTGACTGGGGTGCAGACTTGTAGTGTATACCCTTTGGTGGAGGGGATTGTAACCATGGCAATGAAATGATATACAATAGAATGAATGTAAAACTAATGTTCTCCCATGTAAACTATCACATAATTCACAAACATTAAAAAAAAAAAATCTTTGGGACACTGCGAAAGCGGTGCTGAGAGGACAATTTATTGCAATAAACACACACATCCAAACAGAAGAAAGAACCAAAATGAACACAGCATCTACAACAGTTAGAAACAGACCAACAGAGGGAACCTGTAGCCACCCAAAGAAAATAAATAATAAAGATTAGAGCAGAAATAAATGAGATAGAAACAGAAAAGCTATAGAACAAATCAACAGGACAAAAAGCTGGTTCTTTGAAAGGATTAACAAAATTGACAGACCTAACAAAAGAAAAGAGGGAGAAGACACACAAATAACACATTAAAAACCACATGGGCGATGTCACAATGGAACCAAACGAAATCAAAAGGATAAAAACAGAATACTATGATGTGTTGTACTCCAACAAATTTGAAAACTTTTAGAAGAGATGGATATATTTTTAGATAAACACGATCTACCTAAACTTACACACAGTAAAGTAGAAAACTTGAACAGAACCATAACAAAAGAAGAAATTGATCAGGTCATCAAAAGACTCCCAACCAAAAAAAGTCCAGGTCCAGACGGCTTCACTGGTGAGTTCTACCAAACATTCAGGGAAGAGCTGTCACCAATTCTACTCAAATTATTCCAGAAGATAGAGGAGAATGGAAAACTTCCTAATACATTTTATGAAGCAAGCATAACCCTCATATCAAAACCAGGGAAGGATGTCACTAAGAAAGGAAATCATAGACCAATATGCCTCATGAACATAGATGCAAAAATTCTCAACAATAAAATTTATTCTGAGTTTTCTTAGAATTTATTCTAAGTCTTCCTCTCAGTGAGTTGAAGGTGCCTAAATAGCATTATTTAAAATCCTTATCAAGTAATTCTGATACAATTTCTGGTATTATATTTTCTGATTTTGTATTTTGATTACTTGTTTGAAGTACTCTGCTTTATTTCTTTGTGTAAGCTGACCTTGTCTGTTTTCTCTAAGACATTGTGGTGTCCTTGTATTTATATTTAATTGATGTTTGTATATTGCTATGTTCTCAGGATGGATGCAGTTGGGGCAGGAAATATAAATACGTTTCTCTGTTTGCTGTCTGTGTAGCGTAGTTCAGGGTGGGTTCACATGCCTCCAGAAGCAGGGGTGACACTTGTGGCACCCAACAGCAGGCAGAGCTGAGACTGCTCAGAAGATGCTGCTGGCTTGACGAAGGCAGGGATGGACAAATCCCTGCCTACCAGTAGGGCACAGAACACCCCTCTTGCTGCCAACCTCCAGTTGCATCCTGTGCCTGCAGGCTGCTATATGGGGATGTTGTGGTTGTTAAGTGCCGTGGAGTCGGTTCCGACTCTTAATGATCCTGCACAGGTTTTCTGAAGCTATAAATCTTTACGGGAGCAGAAAGCCTCATCTTTCTCCCATGGAACAGCTGGTAGTTTCGAACTGCCGACCTTGAGGGTAGCAGCCCAATTTGTAACCACTACACTACCAGAGCTCCTTGCTGTATGGGGATGGTGGTGGTGGTTATGTGCCGTGGAGTTGGTTCCAACTTATAGCAAACCCTGTACAGGGTTTTTGAGGCTGTAAATCTTTACGGGAGCAGAAAGCCTCATCTTTTTCCTGCGGAACAGCTGGTAGTTTCGAACTGCTGACCTTGCGGTTTGCAGCCCGGTTTGAGCTCCTTATCTATCAGCTTACTTACTATTATTATTAACTTTCAAAACTCCCCTGAGGCTCAGGCTCCCAAACTCCTGTGTGATTATTTTTTTCCTTCTCAGGAGAAGCAGATAGAATTTGCAGGTTGTAAACTTAATTGTTATTTAGTAAACATAGCAAAGTGTGCTATGTCTGCCCCTTCCTAGTGATTGCCTGCATCTGTAAATGGGGACCAGTGATCTCAGGATTATTTTATAAACAGTGTATGCTTTCCCAACTTATTTGATGTTTTACCTTCGTCATATATATACCATTTCTATGACTCAACTCTTTTTAGATCCATTGATAACATTTGTCTGATCTCTTTGTATATTTCTGTATTCCCAGTTGCCATCAAATCAATTCTGACACATGGCGACCCTGTGTGTGTCGAAGTAGAATTGTGCTACATAGGATTTTCAGTGGTTGATTTCTTGAAAGCAGGTCATCAGGCATTTCTTGTGAGGTGCCCTAAGAGTAGTTAGTATCAACTCTTCAATGTTTTGTAACTGAATATGTTAATTGCACTATCCAGGACTCTAATCATCATGTTGTTGTTAAGTGCCGTTGAGTCGGTTCCGACCCATAGCGACCCTGGACAGGGTTTCCGAGGGTGTAAATCTTTA